CTCAACAAACCTAGGACTGAGAGACTTTTCTAGTTGAACGGAGCAAGAATTTGTATCTGGGATACCACATCTGAAAAGAGCAATGCCTTTTAATTTAATATGAAGGAACAACTCACTTCTCCTGGGTTTCCTGGCTTTGCAGCAAATGGCATGATAACCCTCTTTTTAAAAAATGGTGTCTTGACAATATTGTTTTAAATGATATAGCAATTTCAAGCATTAAGCACAACTCCAAACGGTGTTAGCAGAAAATTTTAGTAGGGGTCAAGTGGTTTCATTTCAAGATTTGCCCTGCATTAATTTATCTTAACTTTCTTACTTTAGTACAACTTGCAATACTTCTGAGGCCATGTAGTTCACAGCAGTTGGTATTACTGGATAATCTGATGCAGTTGAAAGAATAATAAAGGCTAATAGCTTCCTAGAAAAGACAGAGCAAAGTGTCAGCAATATTAACATGAGATATTACTGAATATAAAAGATCTATTCTATTTCAGTGTCTCCATTTTATTACATAAAACAAAAGAAATCTCCTTTCAATCCATGACAAAACCTCGTGTGTTTCCAGACATTCAGAGAGAATGTCCTCATTTTCAAATATTAACTGTAGTGATAATAAACAGAAATCACTTCTCCTGCAATGCCCTGTCTGTATCAGGACAGGCTCTGGTAGAAGGGTCGAATGATACGCTAAAGGACAGACCATTAAGTCAATATAGACAATCAGACAGGAATTTCCAGCATGTGAGCAGGCACTACAGCTTTGTACAAGCCATAGCACAGGGCCATAAAACATGTCACAGATGTAAGGCTGAATCAGGGTATGGAGCTCCCCTGCAAAGGTGGCAGAAAAAAATCCCCATTTCCTAAGGGAATGGCTTTCTTGAAAGTGAATAGCATGCTAGCGTGAGAATGAGAAGGAAATATTTTGAAGATATAAAACACCATTCCTGTCCATCAAATAATGCTTTCTGCTGTGCAGGCCATGATTACATTTAACTCAGAGTTGAAATGCTGATGTCTTCTGCTGTGAGACCTTCACAGGGTTATGTGTCTCAGATCTGATCCTAGGGGATGAGGGCACTTCGGCACACAGGAGTGTTCGATCCCAGCTCCATAATTTTTCCTGCTTCGCTCACCTCCTTATGATTTTTCTGTCCTGCATCACCTGGGAAAGAGGCACTTGAAATCTTGGCTCTGTTTTCTGATTTTTCCTGTTAACCCTAATGAAGGATCTGCTATTGTGATTTTTCCTTATGCAGCAGAGGCAAACTGCTTGGAGCTGGCTTTATCCCAGGCTGTGGAAGTTATTCCAGCCTTCACAGGCACAAGTCCAAATCTTTATTCTTCAATTTTGTGTGAAAATTAACTGAGCTGCCTTCTTGCCCCATTCCCCTATAGGCAAGTGACATCCTATATGAGAAATGTCTACTTATTTCAGGGGTTAGACAGCCTGCTTTATTAGTGCAGAGATGTGCTGTACGGGATCTTTCTTCCTGCTGTGCCTAATTTCTGAATCCAAGGGTATTATTAAGGAGGAGGAGTAAAAAAGATTAGGTGTGCTTTCATCTATGTACCCAAATGGCGCCAGTTCTCATTAGAAAGCAGCAAACATTTTCTAGAGAATTGCTCTTTATGGCTCCCCCCAAATCTTTGATCAAAGGTCTCAAACAAATTGATTCTGTGAACATCCATCTATTTGACGTGAAAATTGTGCCCTTAAAAAAAAATGGAAAAAGATTTTAAGCCTTATACTTGTCATCTCAGGATAACACTTCATTCTTTCCTAATCCATTTGAAAGAGCCTTGACTCTGACACAATGCATTTGAATTTAGTTAAATTCTACTTTCAATTGGTGCAGTAGTATGGTAAGTTAATGACATCGCAATTAATGAAAAAAATACTTTACTGTTCCATTTCTCCAGAAATTAATTGGTTTCCAGTTCTTAGCTGTATTTAATTAAATGTCTGTACTTCATTGCAGCGCTCTCAGTTGTTCAAGAAAATTTTCTTGTACATGGCAAGGAATAAATTTTAAACTGTATTTTTAAAATGTGATTTATATTCCTCACGTATCTCACTCATTCAAGAACCAGCGTTCACTGCTGACTATGTCCAGGATCCAGCTCACCCACAAATTGTCCTGCCTGAAACCCTCAAAAAGCTGAAATATCTGAGTGGAAATACAAATACATTCCAATGTAGAAAACACCAGTTCTGAAAAGAGAGTTGGACCTTTCCCCTCTGGCCATCTCTGTCAGACCCGGAGAGGCACTTTGTACCTGGGACTGGGTCCCCAAGAGTGGGTATTAAACTTGATCAGGAGCATTTTCCATCAGCTGTAGGGTCTCAACTGGATAAAAACAAAAATCCTTTCCATAGAGCTCCCATAGCCTCTCCAGGGGCAGTCCGGGCTGTGCAAGCAACTCCCCGAAGTGGCTCAGCCTGCTGCTGCCCAGTTCTAACAGTGCAGAGAAGAAACTTGTGGTCTCGCAGCCCTTGTGATGCTCTCGGCTGCCCTGCAGAGCTGGGCACAGCCATTGGGATCGCCTCCGGCTCCTTCTCCCAAGAAATGCAAAGAATGGGAAAAAGAATTCCTTTTCTTCCCAGTTTAAACATGTAGGCTCTAGAAAGCAGAAAACCAAATAACATCCATTCTCTCTGCTCACATTTTATTTTTCAAGTAAAATTCCAGGATTTTAAGTATTTCAGAGCATTCTTCTAGGAGGAATTTTTCAGCTAAAAAAAAAAATAAAGGCAGTAATAAATCGTGTCCTTGAAACTGACCCCGTTAAAGAGAAAAAGCCAGTTCCAGCAAAGCTCTTTCCCAGTTTACTATAGTAAAACTTCAATAAAAGATGCATAATCCACACACTGCCTTAATCAGTACAACACTGTAGAGACCCCTCTGAGTCTACGTGTAGCTGGAAAGCTCATAAAGACATCTATCCGAGGATAAAAACATTTTCTTTTGAAGGCCACATTTTAAACACTTTTGGAGAATCATGGTACTTACATCACCGATTATGACAGATAATAGTCTAGGGTTGTTAATAATGGATCACAAATACATAATGCTCATATCGATTACGTTATCAATCAGATGCATTCACTCTTTGTGTCTTCAAGCTTCTGCTTCAGGAAGTCATTCTCAGGAGAAATTAAATGGGAAAGGTTTGTAGTCTAAGATCTGATTATCCTGAAGGAAGACTACCAAAGCTGGCACTTGTTATTACCATGGCATTAGTGTCTTTCAGCTAAAGAAATCCTCACAGCGAAACAAAAAGTGAAGGCTATCAAAAAACCTTACTAAACCCAGAAAATAGACAGCCAATTGATTTTCTTTCGTAAAGCATTGCTGCCAATATCCCTAGACAGAAGCGCACTTAGCCAGATCAAAATGTTGTGGGTAGCTATTATTTTGTCAAGAAGATGCAGAATTTGGAAGAAATAACATATGTGGACCACACTAACTTTATTGTTTGCTGAAATTCCCTTACTGAAACTTGACAGCCTAAAAAAAGCCAGATACTAAAGAGTACTGTATGTTGTGTGCTAGTATAGTACAAAAGACTTTGCCAAATGGGACTTTCCAACTGTTCTAGTTTGGCTGCAGCCGGCAACAAAAGCGCCACGCGGCCGCCCCTCCCCCCGCCGGGGTGCGGAAACAGGAACAACAACGATACAGGTAAGGGGAATATACAAAACAAACCAGCAGAACAGAGCCTGCAGAACAGAACCGTTCTCTCGGCCCGCACCGCTGCTGAGCCCTCCCGAGCCTCCAGCGAGTTCCCGCTCCCCAGCTCCCCCCCACCGGAACCCAGCATGACGGCACATGGTATGGAATACCCGGCTCTGTTTGGCCAGGTGGGGTCAGCCTGCCCGGCTGTGTCCCTTCCTGGATTCTGGTGAAAATTAACCCTGTCCTGGCCGAACCCAGGACATTATCCACCCCTTATTCCATACCATCTACGTCATGCCCAGGTCCCCCATTGTCCAGTTGATCACCACCACTTC